TGTCTGGTCTATCAATCTCTCTCTGCTACTGTCTAATTCACAGCCTCACCCCTCTTCCACATTACCCTTGATAATGGCCCTCATCACAGATAGTGAGCACAGCACATAGAGGACCGGCCCCAAACCCAGTGCCACACAGCAGTCTGGCCTGAGGCATCCTGCAGGGCCTGATGCAGATGCTCTGAGGTCGGTGCTGCAAAAGAGTGACCTGCAAGGGTCACAGACGTGTTATAGGGAAATCTGAACATTTTCACTCATTTCATTTTAGGTAAATTCTCATTTGCATGCGACAGAGAGCTTTGCAGGACATCTACCTCATAGAGGGTTTGCAATTTGCAGGCGAGTATTGAGAGTAGGAGGGGTTGATGAAGTTGTTGAACTTACTACCGCTATTACAGATGCTTTAGTTTGTGCCCATTCAGATTAATGAAAATGTAACGCCCTCTGCTGTCCAATTCTGGCGTAGCAGGGCGTTCTGCTTGTGTCCTTTGCCATGACACCTGTTCCTGAACAATAGGTGTCAAATTGTTTGATCTTTTCGCAAACACAGAACTGTTCAGCCTCAATCTCTCTCTCAGTTACTAAGATGTCACCAGCAGCCTGTGTTAAGTGAAGTATTTGCTGTCAATAGCAATAATTATTTGCAAATTGTTATTGCTTTATCAAAACTTTAATTCATGGCAGTAAGTGGTGAGAACTACTTTTTGAAGAATTAAGATACTTTAACTTTTAGTCTTTATAAACTTAACAGAGTACATAAAATACACAGTATAAGTGATGAGAACATTCAAAAATAATTTCTAAGTATTACTAAAGTTTTATAATCCAGTATGTATCACATAATTGCTCTGCCACACAAGCATGGACTGTGCTCTCTCAGATATAGCATAGGAATCCAGTTTTTTTTAAATGAGTGCATCAGATCAATACTAACAGCTTTTGATCTTGTTATTATTACAGCTTTTATATTTGTTGTCTGCCAGTGTCCGATCATACATTTCCTACAAATCAGAACAGCAGTGTGCAGTAGGAGGCCCTCGTTTAAAGACTCTGATGGAACAGAGAGTAAAATCATCACTTCTCTATCTGAAATGACCCCTCTTATCCTAAACAGCAGCCTTCCTTCTGTAGGCAGCGAGAAGAAAAGAACAGAAACAGAACACAGAAACTGTAATGAGAACACAAACTGTATATTTATATCACAGCAATAAGAGATTTTAGGAATAGAAATAAACTGGGAAAATAAGGGATCGAAAATTAAAAACAAAAGTGTTATAAGGGGGCCTGATGGTTGCTGGAGAGAAGAGACTGGACCGGAAGGACCAGAGACTTCGCTGAAGTGAAGACAGGCAGCCAGGGTTTAAATGAACGTTGACATTTTATTAAGAAGGTAACAAATTCAAATTCCCCAAAACCCACTTGTATAGGGTGACCACATGTTCCCCCTTTTTTACCGGGCCAGTCCCTGATTCCAGGCTTGTCCCGGGCAGCCTCAACCTTTTTTAAAAAAAAATATTAGCTGGTTGTCCTGTTTCTTGGAAAAGACAGGAGAGAAAATCTGCCCCCCACCCCACCCCATGCCCCATGCCCCATGCCACCCAGAAAGTATAAAAAGCCTGTACTGAGGACCACCACCAACCTACCCCACCCCCAACCTGGGAAAGTGTCCTGTTCCCAGCTCAGGGGGAAAGTGGTCACCCTACACTTACACCGTACCCCAGATATGCAGTGTGGCTGCTTCGAACATAAACAGTATCAATGATACAACTGTATCAATGTTAGGAGCTGTTCAGGTTTAACACCACAATACGCACATTCAGGTAACACTGGAGGTGGGCAGGGTCTCTGAGCCTGTCCCCTGTCTGAATGGTGCACTGACACGGATTCTACTCCTGCGTGCATTTTTATCACTTGGGCCTGTGATGTAAGAATGGCTTCATGTGCACTAACTGTTGTCAGGTGTAGCTGCAGCTTTTGTGATCGTGTTGAAGAGATGGAGTAAAAATACTTCCTCCAGTGTCCTGGTATAACAATTGAGTACTGAAACTGAGATTTGTTTGTATTGCACTAATTCACTGCATTACAAACTCGACCACATAACTCTGTGCAGGAGAGCCCCCATCCAGCTGGTCTTATAAGTCACTTGTTTTTTTAATTCTGGGAACACTTGTATAGTACTTGTTAATTAAGCAAGTAATTTTTTGCAATTATGAGAGCTCTGATCCTTCAGGGCTGAAGGGTACTAATTGATCTCTCGATTTCTTAATTTAACAAATCGGCGGCTTAGTGGATCTTGGTTAAACGGTCCCAAGCTCTTAGAAATTTGTGATTTCGTGGTGACCTGCTGGACTGGGGCTCCTGGGACCAGGGCTAGGGACCTCTGTTGTTACATAATAGGGGTTCTTTGGTTGGAAAGGTGTGTCCAGAGACGGGAGACGTTTCCTTGTTAACTGAGGTCAGTCAATCACCAGAGGTCAAGGGCTGAAATCGATTTTCGCCACTTATCCATTAATTGAGCTCATATTGCTGGCTCACTGGAAGGCCGAAAGCTCAGGTATTGAGGAAGGCTCCGATTTGTGCAATGAACTGCAGGAAGGGAGAGCGGCTCACAGTCTCCCCTTGTGTGGAAGCGAATACAGAAGCCTGGGGGCCGAACAGGCCCTTGTCCTCAGTGCGGACAAGCGTCCCGAGAGCCAGCCCAGGAGTGGATCCACCAGTGTGCATCTCGGGAGTTCGTTTTTGTTGGCTTTACCGTCCTACAGGGCTGGTAATTCCATGCTAATGTGCCTGAAAACGCACTGCAAAATTGGTTTAATATTTCTATCACAAAATGGTAAAAGGCCACAGCATCTCATCAGGACTTAATCCTGTTTCTGACAGTGTTAAGCAGACTGAGAGCATGTGACTCCCCCTCCTGGACAGAACACCAGTCCAGCACAGGGATGATGTCCAAGCAATGCTGGTCCCCTCTATATAACTGGGTAGACTGGAGCCACAGGGATTGGACAGCGAGGATTCGAACCCACAACCTACCAGTTACAAGCTCGAAGTTTATGAGCTCACTATGCTATGCTGCCACCCCCTTTTTTAATCAAAGCATTGAAAAAAGTCAAGAACAGGGTCTCCCCTGTTGTGTTCGTAGATCCTCCCCGCTCCAGGGCACGATCTGGACAGCTGGACAGCTGCCCTCCCTCCTGTGGGCCCACATGCTAGCTCTGCGAACCCGTCGGACACACCTGACCCGGCCCGGTCCGGCTGCAGAGGGAGAGGGCTCTCGGCCTCCACAGTGGACATCTCACACCTCACCCACATGCCAGGCTGCACCCCAGACACCCCACGCCCTGTCCCATGCACCGCTTTCAGACAAGGCACAATATTTACAAAATAAAAACACAAAAACAAACAAACAGCTGGACATGCCGTCCGTTTAAAGACAATTTTTAAAAAATAAATCTCCACATTAACAACAGAACTCGGCAACGATCAGACACAGGTGCCGTTTCTCTCCTCCTGGGACAAGGTCCCAGTCCCTTTGGTGTTAAAAAGCATGCTCCCCTCACCCCACCCCCGTAATCCAATTGTGAATAAGACGCATGCAGAATAAGAGTCCCAGTACTGGGGAACAGGGGGAGGAGAAGGGAGGTGTGGACCAGAAAGAGGAGAAAAAGGGCAGCATGCAGGGTGGAGCTTGTGGGGCTCTTCCTGTGGCTGCAGACTCATTCCTGTCAGAAAGAAGCAGTTCTTTAAGGAGTTGTAATGATTTCCTGCCCAAAACAAAACAGAAGAGCCGTTATCTACAGCAGACTTCACTCAGTCAGCTCCACTCCCCTGCGAGAGACCCGGTTTCGAACTCGTGACCCCTTCCTGCGCCAGAGGCAGGCTCTTTATTCGCTGCTGCTCAAGAGGAGGTTCCCCCAGCTGAGTCTGAATGCATTTAGAACCGAGATCGGAGGGTGGGTGGGGTTTCACGTCTTTACACAAAGGGTGGTGGGAGTCTGGAGCAAGCTGTGCAGCTATGTTGCTGAAGCTGGTGCTCTTCCTTCATTCACAAAATGGGTGGATGAGGTCCTTGGATCCATGAGCTACTGACTAAACGGGCCGGGCGCCCCTCCTGTTGTTTCTCATAGTGCAGGCAGTGGCTTTACCCCATCTGGCCAGCAGGGGTCACCTGCGACACCATGTGATACAGGACAAGCAGTCGGCCAGAAATCTGTACTGAAACCAACTCCACCCACTGATCCTTACCCAACGCCCCACACGCAAGCTAATGCTGCCCTTAAGGCACAGACAGGAGAGTCATTTTCATTGCAAACTGTAGGTGTCCCTGCTAGTTTAAATAAGCACATCAGGGGTGCGCAGCTCAGGAGGGCTTTCTGTCCGTCTGCACGTGCAGAACTGGGGACAGCATTCAGTTGGAATGAAAACCCACAGACCACGAGGAACATAAGGGAAACAAATACTGTACATCCTGCAAAATATAGTATGCATCAAATATTTAATGAGATGTAATAAAATCATGAAGTCAACTCACACCTGATCGATTAGATGAAAACGGTTAACTGTGCAACACACAAACACAGTTCATTTTTTTCCAGCTTTTGCCACCTGCGGCAGTAGTTGCATATCCTGTCAGTGTGTGCCCTGCGGTGACTGTTCCTCTAAATCAGCTCACAGCAATTGCACCTTGTTAGTGCCCCCAGCAGCTTAATTGTTATATTGATCCTGCTAATTAACGACTAATGAACTGAGGAGTGGGGGGGCTGTGAGATGCTGGAGTGGAGAGGAGTGAGAGGGGCTGCAGGCTGGACTGGACAGGACAGTATGTGTCGGCTCAAGGCTGTCATGCTAACGGAGAGAGAGTATCCCCAGCTGAGGCTGGAATTAGTACTCAAGACCAGGACCACCAGGAACAAAGACGTCAGCTTGTCGAGCCCACAGGGGGAGGAGTGTGAAAGGCGTTTCAGGAACTTAACCAGATTGGCAGTCGGCCACTTCATTTCTGCACATGTGTGCGTGACTGTGAGGGAACTCCAGGTGCTCCCCACCCTCCTTCTGCACCTGCAGCTAATTCAACAGCACTCTGAACAACGCACAGCAACTCCAATGCATGTTAAGCCCTTTACGCCTTACAGTTCAGGTGTCAACTTTTAGCCCCAGGGACCTGATTGCTAAAGACGAGAGCTTGTTCATTTAACACTTTGAATGCTGGGAAGCTTCATTCTCGTCTACATTCCGATTTTCCAAAGCTCTTTATCACTTACTCCTAATTGAATCCATTGCGGACTTCATTAGTTCTTCATAATTAAGGATTTATTATCAACAATTTAAGAAGCCCAAGGACTCTGGTCCTCAGCGGACACTGTCCGGCACGTTTTCCAGGTCTCGTTAACTCTGCAGCTGCTGAAGAATAAGGAGAGGCTTCCACTTGTCAAGTAAAGTAAATAATGAGATCAATTAGGTAATTAAGAGCCCCGGACGGAGTGAAATCTAGAAGCTGTCCATCCAGGACTGGAGTAATGCATACATTTTTGTACACATGGGAAGTCAGGTCCTGAGGTTTCAGAGTACATAATACTTAGAAGATCCCAAAAAACAAATTAATTTAGGTTAACACTTGTGACAGCTCAAGTACTGGCTCCTTAAAGGACCACATGCACAAACCAGCTTTATCCATTAAAGATCTGCATAAGATTCTTTGTATCTTTCTTTCTCTGTGACAATAATAGAGCAAATTCCCCAAAGGAAGCCCACTCCCTTTAGCTCAGCCTTGGACATTTGAACTTCATGATTAAGTTGCACTAGAATGAAAAGGCTCTGAAGCAAAACTCCCCCCTTGTCCCCAGCCATCCAGAGTTCTGGAGTTTGAGCCACCTGAGCTCTTAGTAAAGCAACTGAATTATTGATGGATTTAATCAGTGCAAATGGAGGGAGGTGAGCAACTGAAGGTCCTTGGTCTGGCTGATCCAGTCTGTAGGGGAATGACTCCTTTATAAAGGTTTATCTTGGCAATTTTTATCACTGATGTTTTGCACCTTTACTGCAGATTTACAACATTAGCGCAGTGAACTTTAATCGAGGCTTTACTCTGCTTTACTACACCTGACCATACGATTACATGAGTGAGGCAAACAGGCTTTAGAACATATTTACCACATTACCAGGTCTCAAAGGAACACAAGGCTGTTACAGGGGCATTAATCCCTTGGGCCTGCAGGAGCATCAGTGATGCAGAAAGTTGCAAAGCCCAGGGTCCTGGCCCTTTGGCATAGTGGAATACACCACTGTAGAGGGATGTGTAGTGTGCACTCAGCTGTGCACGTCACTGGTCAATCACAGTATTGGTCCGGTGTGGTAAAGCACAGTGAAGTCAGAGGGTGCCCTTCGGCTGCACAGGAGATGGTGGGCGTACCTGTTTGTACATCTCCCCAGTCCTCTCGATCACAATGGTCTTGGCCTCTTTCACGGGCGAGGTGGCCTGATAGTCGTCGCTGAGCAGCCCCAGGATCGGATACTGGTTCCTGTACCTGCAGAGGGATGGAAAGCATGGAATCCATTGTTGTTTAAACAGCCTGGGAACTTGACAGTTGTTTTTAAACACTCCCACATGGCTGCTCAGCCAGGAAAGGTGTTCTCTCAGAGCGCTGGTGGCCCTGAGGTCACCAGGTCAAGCCAGGGTCATATCAATACCTGACCGTGCCCATGTATTGAAATGCCCCAAGCAGAATTCGCCCTCCTAGCGTGTGAAGGGTCAGGGTTACTCAGCCAGAATGCCACTCCCAACACAACAGCAACCCCTGTGATTCGCAGAGAGGCATCTCATTGTGATGTCACTTCCTCCAGCCCACACTAGCTCTCCTGTCAGGCACGGTGGAGACTGCAGCGCGTCAAATGCTATATGACTTTGCAGGTGGGCGTGTCAGAGCAACACGCCGGCGCAGTTCGTCGTCTCCCAAGAGCCGAGTCTTAGAAAAACTACAGAATTGAAATCGCATAAAACAATGGGCCATTTCAGACCCTGTTAAAATGACGTGAGTAGTTTCAAACTGACTACATGTGTGGTGTGTTAAGTCCATCGCAGGGGCGAGGACAATGGCAGGACAGTGGTGAACAGACAGAGCAGAGGAGACGCGCAGCGGGTTACTTTTTGGTGATGATGGTCTTGGTGACGCTGTTCTTGGACTGGCTCAGGGCTTCGTTTCTCTCGTTCTGCAGCCTCCTTAGCTCCTGAAAAACAAGCGAGGCACAGGTTAGCGTCTGGCCTGCAGGCTCAGCAGCGAATTCCTGCGACTAATTTTCAGCAGGAGGTGGAGAGCGTGAAGATTTCTGCCCTGCGTCGAGAAAAAAATGTAACAATCACACCCACCAGCACTGAGCTGCTCAGCTCAAGAAGGAATTTGAAAACAAGATCCGATCCGATTTTAGGCTGTGTCAGAACACACAGGCAGTAAATTTCGCTTAAGTGCAGGGGGCACGATGTCTCTTTTGTAACTGAACATAACTGGCGATTGATGAGTTTACTTATCCAGTCTGCTCTACATACACCTGCTCATCCAGACTGCAAGACCCATAATAGATCTGTATGATTAAAAGCTCTCAAAAGCCCTCTCATGAGTAGAAGACTATGCTGGTCATCCCAGGTTTGCACAATATAAATTAAGACCACTTTCTCTCTCTCTTTATCACTGGGGGAAGAAAAAGGAAACTTTGGAACTGATCGAAATTGAAAATGAATTGGATGGTGATTCCAGGAGCCGCAGGCACAGCAGATAAAAGGTTTTTATCTAACCTGCTGCACTCAGGAAGACCTTGCTCCTTGTGGACAGTGGTCTACAGTGCCCATGCATATCCATATTGGAGCTGCTGCATGCTTTGTGCAGCTAAAATTGCATTGCCTTTGACAATGAAGACCACCATACATTACAGTGCATTAGATTGTGATATTACTTCATTGTGCAGTGCTCTAAGCATGACAGCTTCAATAACATTATTCATCAATGAATCAAGCACAAATGTTTTCTGAGATTCTCCTCTTCACTTGGAGGATTAAGGATCTCTGAAGGACTCAACTATCAGTTGACTATAACAGCTGCTGGGAGTGTCCAGCAGGGACTGGACACGCCTGGGTGGGAGACTCAGATTGGGTGGGTCTTGCTGCAAATTCCTCACCTCCTCCTGCTTCTTGATGAGGCTCTCCTTTTGCTCCAGGGAGGACATGAGCTCCGTGATCCGCAGCTGCAGGCTGTGGTCGCTGCTGCTTTTGGAGGAGAACTCTGTCTGTATCCTGTTGAGCTGAGTCTGAAACACACGTGCACACCAGCTTTGATTGTCACAGCTCTCAGCTCCCCTAAACTCTGTTCACCAGCCCATGCTGTCTCCCTCCCTCCCTCTCCTGGTGCCTCAGCTCTGTCCTCC